GTCAGACCTGAACCAGGGGGGATGGGGGTGAGGTGGGGTTGGACCCAAACTGGAAGGGTGGGGGGCAGTGGGGTCGGACCCAAACCAGGGGGAAGGGGATGGGGCAGGGTCAGACCTGAACCAGGGGGTGCGGTTGGACCTGAACCGGGGAGAGAGGGGGCAGGTTTGGACCCAAAGCAGGGTAGGGGTGAAGTGGGTTCAGACTCAAATTGGGGGGGCTGGGGTCAAACCTAAATGGGGGGAACGGAGTTAGACCTAAACTGGAGGGGAAAGGGGGCAGGGTCAGATGCAAGAAGGGGGGAGGAGATGCGCGGGGCTCCATCCCCCCTCCCCCCATCATTCTTTATGGGCAATTTGCTAGTTATGTGATAATTTTTAGATGCTCACTGAGGCCATGGACACACATTATATTTCTAGTGAGAATTATGCTGCTCTAGCATTGCAAACTGTGATCATACACCTGCACATATATGATCCAGGTGGTCATGAAGTATCTCACAAAGCAAATACAGCACATTCATGAGAAAGTACGCACTCTTCCTACAGAAAGGAAAATGCAGGCTTATTGCAGCTACTTGACTTGAGTCACTAGAACACCCAGAATCCTCTGGATGAACTCCAGATTGGCGCAAATAGCTGATTTTCAGTTTTGCACTCAGACCTGGAGACTTCGCTAAACAAACAAACAGCAGATAGGGAAAAAGTCAGGTCAAGAAGGATAAAAACCAAAAACCAACCTTGGGAAATTAAGAACAACAGGTTTGTGGTGTCTAAGGAGCAGACTGTAATTGTAAATATTGCTGAGAAAGAGAGAACTGCTTAAAAAATAAAATAGGGTAGCAACTGCCTAGCAATGATGATGTCACAGCAAGTCATAAAAAAACCAGTAAAGGACAATGAAGTTGTCTCTCTGCTGGACTGTATCCCAAGAAACATTGGGTGATCAATGCAGACACAGGAACCTAGGAGCCTCATCTCAGTATGGCCAGCTGATTGAGACCTCTCATTAAATCCACCCAGGATTGATGCAGCGTGGTGAGATTCACTTTGCATTGCTGCTTAGTTCTCTGAGTGTGTGTGTGTGTGCATGTGCATGTGTAGCCAATAAAGCCTTGCTTGATCTTTAATCAGACAGGTGTGCCATGGTGCAATCCGTATAACCTACGTTCCTGGCCCACTCCCACATCTGAGGGGTAATAAATTTTACTCCAACACTTTCAACCAGCAACTTCTTGCCAACACCACCAGGAATGCTTGTGCAATTATATGTGGTGAAAGAGGGCATTGCTTGGCTTTTTTGCATTCTATTGGGCTGTATTTCTTGTACTCACCACAGCTCCATGCATCTTGTTTGTGACTCATACTGAACTCAACTGCTCCAGCAACTGAGACAAGTTCACAGCCTGGCACAACCCCTGCTGCTTGACACAGAGGCACACATACCAAGCCCTCTCATTTGTCCTGCTGACGATAATAAAGGAACAGAAAGCAATGTGTGCACTTACTTCAATATCTTCTTTATGTTTAAGAAGTGGTGCTTCCATGATATTTCGAAGACAAAAAGAATCAGATTCCACATCAAACGGATGTTCTGTTGTTTCAGCAATGCGATTCCAGTGTCTCTGTTTCATCGCTTTGTTGGTCATCATTTCCAACAAAGGGCATGATTCACTAAAATTATCTATTCTTTTCTTGAGATCTAAGAATGCCTGCCAGTTTTTAAGTCCTTTGGGAAGTTTGCGGCACCTTTAATTGATTTAAAATAATGGATTTAGTAGTAGATTTCCCATACTTTTATTTAATTTTTTTTTGAAAAATATATATCTTTATACCAATTTCATAGTTTCATAGTTTCCAGGGTCGGAAGGGACCTGAGAAGATCATCTAGTCTGACCCCCTGCCATGGCAGGAAAGAGTACTGGGGTCAAACGACCCCAGCAATGTGTTCATCTAACCTCTTCTTAAAAACCCCCAGGGTAGGAGCCTGCACCACCTCCCTTGGAAGTTGGTTCCAGACCCTAGCCGCCCTGACCGTGAAATAGCGCCTTCTGATGTCTAACCTAAATCTACCCTCTGC